TGTTGTTACGATCGGTTTTCCCTTGCAAAAAATAAGGCAAAGTGGACATTTTTTGTTCTAACATGACCAAACTTCAAGAACCCCTTGCAAAAAATGACACGAAGTGCACATTCGCGCGCGCAAGACGAAATCCTTCCAAAACCTTAGTCTTCGTAGCGATTTTCACATAAAAACATGAAAAACCCAATGGTTTTTCAAAAAAGGGTTTCAAACATTCACCCCGCGCGCTCTTGCGGATTTCTTAGGAAACCCAATACTTTTTCAACATTTCTGTCAAACGGGCTCTTGCGAGCAACTTTTTTCACGTGCTTCGAACTTCTGCAACAAAGGTTGCGCGCCTGCCAGGGCCATCATCCCTGTCAAATAATACCATGTGGGACACATTCGTTTTTTCTTCGCGCGCGCACGCCGAAATCTTCAATTGCAGGGGGAAAAGTCGTATACTAAGCTAGCTTCCACAATATGTTACCACAACAAGTCATTGTACCCATGCGCCAGTGTAGTAGCCAAGGTCGTCCGCAGGCCACGAAGTGAAGTGTCCGAACGTCATAGGGCGGGAAGCTGGGTGTGGGTGGTGGCGAAGAGTCGTTTGGAAAATTGGTAGAGCTTGAACCGGCCCCCCCACAAAGTGGGGGTATTGCCCGCCTCCTATGAAAACCCTGGCACTGGTGAGTACGGAGTGTCCCCAGTATTAAATGATTGTTGTTGTTCATTATTATGATTTATGAATATAATTCTAAAGAATTAATTATTGTTGGGTCCCTGGTGCACTGGCCCCCCTGCGCCATTTCCCGCCTAGGCCGCAGCGCCGCAAGCTTACATTTTCACTTCAGTTTTTTCGTGAGGAAGCCTCAGGTAATTCGAGGTGATCAAGATCCGGTTGTTTTGTTGTAATCCGTTTTTCCTTGCAAAAAAACACTATAAAATGACATTTCTTGTTCTAATATAATCAAATTTCAAGAATCCCTTGCAAAAATAAGGTAAAGTGGACATTCGCGCGCGCAAGACGAAATCCTTCCAAAAGCTTAGTGTTCGGAGCGATTTTAACATAAAAACATCAAAAAACCAATGGTTTTTCAACAAAAAAATGTCAAAAATCTCATCCCGCGCGCTCTTGCGGATTCGTAGGAAAACCAACACTTTTTAAACATTTCTGTCAAACGGGCTTTTGCGAGCAACTTTTTCGAACTTCTGCGACAACGGTTGCGCACCTGCCAGGGCCATCATCCCTGTCAAATAATACCATGCGGGACACATGCGTTTTTTCTTCGCGCGCGCACGCCGTCGTCGTCGGCCGCGGGGCCCTGAATAGTAGCCACGGTCGTCCGCATGCCACGAAGTGAAGTGTCCGAACGTCATAGGGCGGGAAGCTGGGTGTGGGTGGTGGCGAAGAGTCGTTTGGAATTTTGGTAGAGCTTGAACCGGCCCCCCCACAAAGTGGGGGTATTGCCCGCCTCCTATGAAAACCCTGGCACTGGTGAGAACGGAGTGTCCCCACGTGCTAGTAATTGTTGTTGTTGTTGTTGTTGTTGCTGTTGTTGTTGTTGTTGTTGCTGTTGTTGTTGCTGGTTGTGGCACGACCCCCCAGGCGGTGGTTGTTGAGACTTCCCCGCCGTGTTTCTTCGCGACGCGAACCTACAGAGGCCCTGACACACTCCCCGGGACCTGTAGTCCATCCCGAGTTGTTCTCTGGCGGCCCAGAGGGGCCCAGCGCGGGCTCCCGGAGGCCGAGCACGCGGCGAGACGCCTTCCGTCGCACGCTTGTTCTCACGACGCGAGGCGCGCACGAAGCCTTCCCTGGGATGCAGCTCCCAGGAGCTCAGGGCTCGTTTCGATGCTTCCGATTCGATTCGATTCGATTTCGATGGCTTCCGATTCCGATTCGATTCGGCTTCGGATTTCGATTCGGAATCCGATTCCTTTTTGGAGGCATAATAGCCTGCCGATTTCCGCCGATTTGACTTTTCCCGACTCGGCTGCCGATTTCCGCCGATTCGATCCATTTCGATCGCCGATCCGATTTGTCGATTCGATACTGGGCTCTCCTGGGAGCTTCAATTCTCCATCGGCGCTGACATATCCCTTGTCGAAAACCGGCCGCATCCGGGTCGGTGCCGCTCCATCCCGATACATCTGGCCGTTTCCCCCTAAATCCGGTGGAATCCCGGGGTGGAATCCGGCCTGTTACGGCCGCGTGGCAGTTTCATATGTCCGAGCCTCTATATCGTTCTGACGAAGACGTCCGACGAGTTGCCTCCGGGAGGCCTGCACGTCCCTCCCCTGCTCCCTGCCGGACGTATCGGGCCGGGCGAAAGGGGGGGATTGGGAAAGGGGGGGTTACGAAATCTGCTGCATGCAGCTGGTTTCGGCCTCACCGAGGGGCCCATTCCTCGATACGTAGCCGCCTCTGGCGCCGGGAGGCGCCGGGCAAATCAGCTACGTGAGCTGATTCTCAAACCCCCCCTTTGCTATCCCCCCCTTTCGCCCGACCCGAACGTAGGACGAGATGAAGCAGTTCGTCCGGGACAAGCACCACCAGCTGCAGGAGACCGCACGGGGGCCGGGCCACAGGCGGGGCCCAGCGGCCTCTGGCGGGAGGGAAGCTTCCCCGGAGCGGCGGAGGGGCCGTGGTGCAGGCCGTCCTTTGCGCAGAGCGCGCGCTCCCCTCGAGGGAGGAGCAAGTCATAGGAGCAACTGGGGGTGATAGCAGCTGTCTGTTATCAATCGGGCCCCCGCCCTCCACCGTCGCAGGCGATGTTCCCCCCCCCCCATCCCCGAGCTCCGCTTGAAGAGTTCGGCCGCTCCGAAGATCAGGAAGCCCCAAATTGAGCTATATTCGGACGCCCCCCGTATCGAGGATGGGCGCCTCAGGGTGGGGCCCCAGACTCTGGTCCCTTCGAGAAGCCTACGCGGCCTGGGATAGGGGTCAGCACATCCTCTGTTGGGTGTTCCTTATTCACTGCTTCTCCGATGGGCGCGGGCCCCCGCCCTCCTCATCCTCCCCCCCCTCCTCCACCTCCCCCTCCACCTCCTCCTCCTCTCCCTCCTCCTCCCACTCCTCCTTCTCCTCCTCCTCCTCCTCCTCCTCCTCCTCCCCCGCCCCCCCCTCCTTCGCCCTCCTCCTCTCCGGGCGGGCCACCCCCCTGGTGTTCGCGGCTGCTCGGGGCGACTGGTCGGGACCTCCCGCTCACCAGTCTTCTGGCGCGATTTGGCAGGAGCAAATCGGCCAAGCACCCGCCAGGATCCAGACCCAATTCTGTCGACACCCACCTCCTCCTCCTCCTCCTCCTCCTCCTCCTCCTCCTCCTCCTCCTCCTCCTCCGAGTAGGCAAACGCTCACGTGATCATACGCCCCGAGCGTGACAAGACCTGCCGGGCGTCCCGCGCGGGCTGCAGAAGCGAGGGCCGCCGGGTGCTCCGAGACTCTTGGGGCGTGCCCTGAGCCAATCGCACCATGGCATCGTTCGTCCTTCACCACCTACCAGACCACCCCAACCCAACCCGAAGGCCTCAATCTGCCCTCCATTTCCACCAGTGTGGGGGGGGGGGTCGGGGAACGTGGAGAAAAAACACACGGAACCCGTACCCCCCCCCCAGCCCGAAATTCGGGTCCAATTCGGGCCTTCGGGTTGGGTTGGGGTGGTCTGGCAGGCAGTCAGCCCTGCGAGCGGCAGAGAGATCAGCTGTCCCAGCTCCGCGCGGGTACCTCGGATCGGCGCCTCCGCCGCCCCCTTGGCGGCGCGCTCCGCGCGCCGGGGGAGGGGCGCCCCGCGCCGACCCGGGAAGTCCTCCGCGGGGCGATCCGGGGAGGGCCCCGCCCTCGTCGGGTGTGCGGCGTGGGGGCCTCGCGGGGGGGTGAGGAGCGGCAGGACGGGTCGGCAGCGAGCGCGTCGTGTCTGGTGTGTACACCTTAGGCGATGCTTAAGAGAACTTATTTTTTCGGCCAGGGTCTCGATTATTCTTAATGTTTCAGTATAGATCCTAAGATTTGAATGGACATTCTGGGTTTTTATTCAAGTTCTGAGACTATGAATTTCTTAACCCATGATTTCTCAAGCATTTCGCAGGGTGTAAGTGTGTTATCTTGTTCTCGTGCGTGAGGTCCCGTATGCTCACAAAGAGCAGCTTTGCGTCACACCCGAGCACGACAGCAAGATTTTTCCTGGTGGGCGCCTGATGCGGACCTGTTCGGCTCCCTTCGAAGTCAGCTCGGCTCCAGTTCGGCTCTAGCCCCACCCAAGTCTCGAGCCGGACTCGAGTCGGCGGACGTTCGACGCAGCATCCACGCTTGAGTGGAGCGAGTGGCTACAGGAAGGTCCGCAGAACGAGCATCTAACCTTCGGCGCATCTCTCCTTCAGCGGAGGGCTGGCGGATGTAAGATGGCGGCGGAGACAAACATGAGACAAGAACACGCTTGAGTCCAGGGTTTCTGGAAATCCTGCCAGAGTTGGTCAGCGGGCTGCGGGACTCAAGCAGGCCTAGGATGAAGTCGGGCCTGTCCCTCTACAGGAGGAATGTTCAAAAATAGTCAAAAATAGTGTGGGGACGATTTTGGTATCATTTTGGATTTTTGCCGGGTGCACTTGTTTTTGACTATGTTTAACATGTCGTCCAAAGTCCGCCTGTAGAGGGACAGGCCCGACCGAAGCCCAGGACTGGCATGGATCGTTTCAGAGCGTTCTGGGACGCTTTCGGAGCGCCCCCGCGCGCCCGGAACTGCCGCGGCGCCCCGTGCACCTCCAGGCAGAGATCCCCGATATTCGGCCCCGTCCGATGGTGCCTGGGCGTGGCCTCGCCTCGGAGACGCGCGGCCGGACACGCCGCAGTCGCGCACGTGATGACGGGAGCGCGCGCCCGCCTTGCCATCCGCCCCGCACATCACTGCACGCTACGGAAGGTGCCCCTGTTAGCACGCCATTGCTCAAAGAATCGGAGGTCGGGGGCGGAGATCGAAGTGGAACGGAGAGCCCCCTACCGGGAAATCGATTTCGGTTTCGTGTTCGTGCGTGCCGTGCGGGCGAGGCGAAGCTGCGTGGGCGGGCGAGAGAAAGTCTCCTGTGGCTGAGGCGCGGCCGGACCAAATGTCTCCCTTCTGGGCGGCCGGGGGCCCGCGGTGTCCCGCCGGTGTCCCGCTGGTGTCCCGTGTGGCTGAGGCGCGGCCGGACCAAATGACTCCCTTCTGGGCGGCCGGGGGCCCGCGGTGTCCCGCCGGTGTCCCGTCGGTGCCCCGTCGGTGTCCCGATAATGATGCTGTTGATGATGATCATGATGGTTGTGTTGATGGTGATGATGATGACGATGATGGTGATGATGATGATGATGATGATGATGATGATGCTGATGATGATGATGTTGATGTTGATGATGATGATGAGATGACGATGATGTTGATGTTCTGCTGGTTGTTGTTGATGATGATGATGTTGGTAATGCTGATGCTGATGATGATTATGGTATCCCGATGATGATGATTATGACGGTGGTGATGATGATGGTGATGGTGATGGTGTACCGATGATGATATTGATGATGATGTTGGTGATGATGATGCTGATGATGATGGTGTCCCGACGATGTTGATGATGCTGTTGATGATGATGACGATAATGAGCTGATGATGATGATGGTGTCCCGATGTTGTTGATGATGTTGATGATGACAACGATGGTGACCATGATGGTGTCTCGATGATGATGATGCTGATGGTGATGATGACGATGGCTGTGTCCCGCTGGTGATGTTGATGATGTTGTTGATGCTGATGAGATGACGATGATGTTGATGTTTCTGCCCGTTGTTGCTGATGATGATGTTGGTAATGATGATGCTGCTGATGATGATTATAGTATCCCGATGATGATGATTATGACGGTGGTGATGATGGTGATGGTGATGGTGTACCGATGATGATATTGATGATGATGTTGGCGACGATGATGCTGCTGATGATGATGGTGTCCCGATGATGTTGATGATGCTGTTGATTATGATGAGGATGCTTATATGATGATGATGGTGTCCCGATGTTGTTGATGATGTTGACGATGACAATGATGGTGACCATGATGGTGTCCCGATGATGATGATGATGATGCTGATGGTGATGATGACGAAGGCTGTGTGCCGATGATGATGATGATGATGATGATGATGATGATGATGATGTCGCTGACTATGATGAGATGATGATGGGGATGATGATGGTGGCCTGATGATGATGGCGTTGATGTTGATGACGATGATGATGATGACGACAGTGCCCCGATGACGATGAAAATGATGGTGTTGGTGATGATGATGATGATGATGATGATGATGATGATGATGATGATGATGATGATGACGTTGAATGTTAGATCGATTGTGATATCGGTAGTGAGATCGATAGTGAGACCGAATGTGAGATCGATTGTGAGATCGATAATCAGATCAATTGTGAGACCGAGCGAATGAGATATATCGAGTGAGATCGATGGTGAGATCGATCGAGTGAGATCGATCGAGCGAGACCGATAGTGAGATGGATAGTGAGACCGATCGAGTGAGACGCTGCATCCTCCCCCCCCGAACCTCCTTATCACCCGAAGGGTGGTCGTATAGGTAAAAGTCGCTATAAACATAAACTTTTGGCGCTCCGCGCGGATTTTTTGGATCCGCGCGGATTTCTTGGATCCTCCGGCGCCGCCCCCGGCGCGCTCCGCGCGACAGGGAACGGGGTCCAGCGCAGATCCCAGAAAACCGCACGGAGCGCCAAAAGCTATGTTTATGTCGGTTTCATTGTTCTTCTAATTGCTCTGCAAAGGGTCTCGTTGCCTTTTTCACGAAGAGTGCCCAATCGTGCACTCTTCTGCCCACGCGTCCTTCCCGATGCTACTTGTAGGCGCCTCTGCTGAGGCACATCATTCACAACGGAATCGTGGAGTCGGTTTGCGACGCGCGCTGCACGGGTGCGGCATTCCACGGGCGTGGGCCCTTCCTCCAGCGGTTGGCGCACGGCCGGCCGTTGCGGGGGCGCGGGGGCCCGCCTTGGGAGAGAGGAGCAGGACAAGCCAGCCACAGCCATGCGGGGACACGTTACGAGGGAGGATAGGGTGGAAGCCCAGGCCGAGGAACACCCTGCTGGCCCCCAGGGTGCCCCAGGCGTCTTGGGTTTCGCTGGTTTTGCGGTGGAATGCGTGGCGCTCCCATCACCAACGATCCATGGACGCCCTGGGGTCGCAGGGTCGGGTCTCTCGCGGAAGGTCTCTAGCGGTCGAGCTCCTACTGTAGGCTCAGGGGGGGGGGGGCCGCGTCGACCCCTGCTCGCCCGCCGGTCGCCGATTTATCCGCCATGGGCGGGCTCGTCCTGGCGTTGCCCCCCAAACTCAGAGGAGGAAGAGGTACCCATACCTCTACCCTTCGCCCGACTTCTCCTTGTTGGGCCTCTTGGGAGGCCCTCGTCGCCACCGCTGGATTCGCCTCGGAATCGTGGTCAGAACGCACCCCAGGAGAGGTCTGGGGAGCAGCGGTATCGGTACCTTTAGGTGTCCCCACAAACTGGAGATCGAGGC